GGGCCCGTGGGAGCTCGTCGGGCCCGTGTGGAGTTCAGGGCCCTGTGTGAGCTCCAGGTGGCCCGGGGAGCTGAGGGGCCCCAGGCGAGTTCAGGTACCTGTGGGAGCTCAGAGATCCTGTCTGGAGCTCAGGGCTCCGTGGGAGCTCCAGGTGACCCGGGGGAACTCGGGGAGAGGGGCATGGGAGCTCGGGAGTAAATGGTAAAATGGATCCGAGTCTCAAAGTACATTCTCTCTGTGCCTGCCAAATCTTTCTGCATTTCCTGTAACCCTCTCACTTCACAGGTCATGCTGCATCAAGTCATGTCTTCTCCGTGAAATATATTTCTGTACATGAGCCAGTGGTAATTTCTAAGATATTTCTCCTCAGACAGTCTCCAAACCTTCCTCAATTATCTGCACTTCTATTCTGGCAGCTCTTTGTCGTTGTTTAGTTGCATTGATATGAGTGTTTAAGTATTTCATGTACAATTACAAGGGGTCATGTGAGAGAGGGCCATTTGCTTCATAGAATTATGAAATCATTTGGGTTGAAAAGCCTCTGAGCCCACTGAGTCCAACCACTCCCCTGGCACTGCCAAGGCCTCCGCTAACCCGTGTCTCCAAGTGCCACATCCACATGGCTGTTAAATCCCCCCAGGGATGGGAACTCCACCCTTGCCCTGTGCAGCCTGGGCCAGGGCTGGACAGCCCTTTCCATGAGGAATTTTCTCCATGTCCAACCTAAACCTCCCCGGCACAATTTGAGGCTGTTTCCTCTTGTCCTGTCACTTGGAGTGTTACTTGGAGAAAAAAGATAAATCCCAGTTGCCAACAGGGAAGTACTGTAGCACTTACCTGAGGTACTTGTACAACTGCCTGATGCATGGCAAATGTCCTGAACCTATGCTCCAGGACCACACATGTTCCTGGGAAGTCTGCCTCAATGTCATGATACTCACTGTAAGAGTATTTAATCTCTAGAGTCACTCACTATCACATGTTGCAGCTGTTTTGCTTTGTACAAGTACTTAAACATTAACTGGGCCTTTCTGAGTGGGGCATGATCCCCTCGTGCAGAGGTAAAGCAGCTCCTAGAATGTGGAAAGTCAAGGTGCAAATCCATGACCTAAAATAAGAAAATGGCATCTCTACCACAAGTAAGACTGAGCAATCACCATTTGCAAGTATCACAGTCATCCAGAACAGGGAAAACTCTGGTAGAAGTTCCCATTCCCCTAATAGATAGTACAGTTTTTAATTAAAAAAAAAAAGGTTTAATGTTGGACCTGGCAGTGCTGCATTAGTGGTTGGACCCCAAGGTCTTGGAGGGCTTTTCCAACCTCAGCAATTCTGTGATGCTGTGATACTGTTACTACAGACATTGGTAACAAGTCTCTCTCCATCCTTCTTTTCAGCCCCCTTTAAGTATTGAAAGGCCACAATAAGGTCTCCCTGGAGCCTTTTCTTCTCCAGGCGAACACCCCCAGCTGTCCCAGCCTGGCTTCAGAGCAGAGGGGCTCCAGCCCTCGGAGAATCTCCATGGCCTCCTCTGGACCTGCTCTCAAGCTGGTCCATGTCTTTCTTGTACTGAGGAGCTCCAAGCTGGATGCAGTGCTCCAGGTGGGATCTCACCAAACTTGAGTACAGGGGAAGAATTACCTCTGTCAACCTGCTGGCCACACTGTTGCTGGCACAGGCCAGGTGCCATTGGCCTCTTGCCCACCTGGGTACACCTGAGCTCCTGTTCAGCCACTGTCACCAGCACCTCTAGGTTCTTTTCCAACTTTCCAGCTGCTCTGTCCCAAGGCTTGAGCATTTCATGGGCTTGTTGTGACCCAAGGGCAGGACCTTGTGGATCCTCACACCATTGGCTTTGGCCCATCGATTCCCTCCCGTTGATCCAGCCTTCCCAGACACCCCTGCAGAGGTTTCTGCCCTCTGGCAGATCCACACTCCCACCCAGTCTGGTGTTCTCTGCGAACTGACTGCAGTGCCCTCAATCCCCTTGTCCAGAGAGTCAATAAAGACATTAAACAGGACTGGCCCCAGTACTGAGCCTGGGGAACCCCACTGGTGCCCAGCCCCGTTTCCCACCGCTCTCTGGGACTGGCCATCAGCCGGGTGTTACCGAGCAAACAGTGCACCTGTCCAGGCCAGGAGCAGCCAGGTTCTCCTGGAGAATGTTGTGGGAAACGCTGTCAGAGCTTTACTAGAGTCCAGGCAGACACATTCACAGCCTTTCCCTCAGCCACTGAGGGGGTGACCCTGTCACAGAGGGAGGTCGGGTTAGTCAGGCAGTACCTGCCTGTTACAACCCCGGGCTGGCTGGGCCTGATCCCCTGGTTGTCCTTCTTTTGATGCAGCCCAGGACATGATTGACTCTCTGGGCTGCTAGTGCATGTTGTCAGCTCACATTCAGTTTTTCATCCACCAGCACCCCCAAGTCCTTCTTCTCAGGGCCAGTCTCCATCCACAGAATCATGGAAACACAGAATGGTTTGGGTGGGAAGTAACCTTAAAGATCATCTCATTTCACCCCCTTGCCATAGGCAAGAACACCTTTCACTAGACCAGTTTGCTCAGAGCCCCATCCAACCTGGCCTTGGACACTTCCAGGGATGGGGCAGCTACAGTTTCTCTAGGAAATCCATTCCAGTCTCTCACTACACTCACAGGCAAAGGTTTCTTCCCAATATCTCATGTATATCCCTGCTTTTCTAGTAGGAATCCCTTCCCCCTTGTCCTGTTCCTCCATCCCTTGTCCAAAGTCCCCCTCCAGCTCTCCTGGAGCCCCTTTAGGCACTGGGAAGGCTCTAAGGTCTCCCCAGAGCCTTCTCTTCTCCAGGCTGGAAGGTCCCAGCTCTCCCAGCCTTGCTCCAGAGCAGAGGGGCCTGATCTCTCTCTCTCTTCCAGGTAGCGAGTGATCACCTCTCTTCCAGTCCTTTGTTGAGTCCATTCTGGCTCCGCTGCAGGCCTGAGCTGGGACAGGGTGTCAGCACACTGCTCACCTGTCTGTGTTTCTCCCCAGGCCTACGGCATCGTCTGGAAAGCAATCGACCGCAGGACAGGAGAAATAGTTGCTGTTAAAAAGATTTTTGATGCTTTCAGAAACAGGACGGATGCTCAGGTGAGAAATCATTGTCCTGATGTGTTGTGAGATGTGGTGGGATTCCATAGGTATTTTCAAGAGTTTTGTCTCTGAAAGATGATAATTATGCATGTAATAATACAGTCTGCAGCTATATTGGGATAAAAAGGAACAATAAATGTCAGGCTTTGTGTATCGTGGCATCTACAAAAGAGGAGTGGATTTAACCCTCTCATTGAAGTGCATCCCTTGCCGTTCTCTTGAGGTGCTAATAAACTACTTTTTCTTTATTTCCAGAGAACATTTCGAGAGATTATGTTCCTGCAGGTAATGTCCATGTTTCTCCTCCACTCTGATTTTTTATTATCTCTGATGTCCACATATTTTCTTCCCATTGTTTTCCAAAATGCAGTGATCAATGATTAGTGTTGACAACTCTTTAATTTTTTTTCTGCACCATCTTGGCAAAGAGCCTTTCAGGGCAAACCCACCTGAATGAAACACACTCCGTTTGCGCTTGTTTTTACTCTTTCCTGCTCTTTCCACATTTTTAGCAATGTGTCTCCTGCAGCATCAACAGGTAGACTTTCACTTTCTGTCATTTCTTGCTTCTTTATGGACGTAAACTGTTTCTCTTACATTTTAACTGCCATGATCAGAGGGGGGCTGGGATGGGGGATGCCAAATTTACTTTTCCCCATCATGTGGGAAGCACTTTGATCACTTAAAATAATCAAAGCAAAACAAAAAGGGAAGATCTGCAAGGAGTAACTTAAAGCTGCTCTTGTTGTGATATAATTGACCTTATCAGTGGCATTATAATTATTTGTCCATGTAGAAACATCAATATTTTGAAATGATGTTATTTCTAAGGACACAAGTGAGACAGGGCTCATGGAATAGGTATTTCCTAAGACTGCCAACTTTAAGTAGTAAAGAGATGAGGGTTTTTTACTTTTTAGTCATTCCTGAAGCCTGAAATAGAAGCTGCAAACTTAAAAGCTAAAAATATAAACAATTCCTTAGAAGTGAATTACCTGTAAGTTAGATCATTTCTGAAAGTGCAGCACTTCTGGAGCAGATGGGTGGAGGAGGAGCAGGGAAAAGAAGGATATTTCTCCTGAAGGAAAGACGGAGTCATTTGGCAGCAGGGGGCTGGGGAGGGAAGTTAATGTGCTGTTCAGCCTGTACTTCTGTGACTTTTGGGGCTCAACAGACTAAAGAATTTTAGTTTCCCCTCCTATTTTATACATCTTTCTTGAGGTTCAAGACTGAGGGATCAGAAAGGAATTTGTTTTAAGTGGTATAGAGGGATTTTTAGAACCAATGATTCAGTCAACAGAGATTATTTTTCAGATTAACTGGCTGGTTTCATACTATGGAAGAAGCTTAAATTCTTTTTTCAGGTTTATTTCAGAAGAAGCCAAATTGAGGAAACAGCATGTTAATGTTTGTTCTAGACAATAATACAAACTAAAATAGGTTATTGTCCCTTTTTATGATTCACAAGCAAAACATGTGATTTTGACAGCTGGGTTTCTTCCCTGCACAGGAATTTGGAGAACATCCAAATATCATCAAGCTGCTCGATGTTATCCAAGCTGAGAATGACAAGGATATCTACCTCATCTTCGAGTCCATGGGTGAGACTCAGCATTGCAGCAGCCACTCAAATCCAGCCTCTCTTCGGAGTTATCCTTATTCCCACTTTGATGGTGGTGTGCTGGTGATTTACATGAACATTCATGATATTACTGATCTTTACTGATGTAAATATATTACTGCTGTAATATATTGCAGAGACAGATTTACATGCTGTTATTAAGAAGGGGAATTTGCTGAAAGACATCCACAAGTGTTACATTCTCTACCAGCTCCTGAAGGCAACTAAATTCATCCACTCGGGGAATGTCATTCACAGGGATCAGAAGGTATATTTCAGTCATTGTATCCTTCACTCCAGTTTTCTGTCAAACGCTGAATAAAATCACAGACTGATTTGAGATGGAAGGGACCTTTTAAAGGTCATCCAGTCCCACTCCTCTGCCATGGACAGGGACACCTTCCACTATCCCAGGTCACTTTAAGCCCCATCCAACCTGGCCTCAAACACTTCCAGGGATGGGGCAGCCACAGCTTCTCTGGGCAGCCTGTGCCAGGGCCTCACCATCCTCACATGGAGGAATTTCTTCCCAGTATCCCATCTAACCCTGCCCTCTGTCCGTGGGAAGCCATTGCCCTTTTTCCTGTCCCTCCAGGCTCATGTCCAAAATCCCTCTCCATCTCTCCTGGAGCCCCTTTAGGCACTGGAAGGAGCTCTAAGGTCTTCCGAGAGCCTCCTCCAGGCTGAGTGCCCCCAGCTCTCTCGGCCTGGCTCCATAGGAAAAGTGTGAAAAAGTATGCAAGCATGAGACTAATAAAAGAACCTTGATAATGTTCTTCTACTATTGGGAGAGTCAAAAGCCAATTAATTCTCCCGTGTTCAATCCAGCCCTCCAATGTCCTGCTGGATGCAGAGTGCTGTGTGAAGCTGTGTGACTTCGGGCTGGCCCGTTCCCTGTGCCAGCAGGGCGAGGAGCAGCCCAGCCCCGCGCTGACCGAGTACGTGGCCACGCGCTGGTACCGCGCCCCCGAGATCCTCCTGGCCTCTCACAGGTGAGCGAAGGGATGGCAGTCTGTGACGGCTTCACCACTGGGAAAACTGATTGTCTAGAAGTCTTACATGTGTCAGTTTTGGATGTCACTGGATGCAATGTCGTGTCAGTCTGTTTTCTCAATATACATTTAAACTTCAGTTCTGCAACATAAAAACATGTGTACATGTTTTTATGTACACATCCTTCCTGTGTTCTTAGAGTGTTCATATACATATGTGAGCAGCTTATCTGTTTGTCACCCTTTCTCCCACTAGACTTATTCTTTCTCCCTTTAAACCCACATCTTTACAAAATTTGCTTGAGAACATAAGTCCTCCTTTCAAAATTGAAGGAGTGGTTTTTGATAGATCTTCAGGAAATACTCTGTAATCAAACATTAAACCAGCTGCCTGTTAGTCAGGCTTAGTCCCTTTCTTGACTTAAAGATGAAAAATCAGAAAAGTAAATAAATAGAGGCTGAGGTAGTATCCCGAATTTAAATGTGGATGTTTTGCAAACTGTCCTATACCCATTGTCTGGTGTTTACTTTGCTTAAAAATGTAAATTTTACTACTTTATACATACATAATGCCTTGAAAAGTCAGTTGTTTCCAAAGATCAACATGTATCTTCATTCTTGGTCATATGAAAAGGATATATTACTTTTTTCTGGCATTACCTTTTATATATTGCCTTGTTCTAGCATTTCTCTGTTATATATTTCCTTTTATGGTTTCCTAGACTAGCCTTTGAGTAGGCTAAATCTCTTTTCTGTTTCATGCTTGCCCGTCTCATGATTCCCAAATGTCATTCAATTTATAGTTCAAATGTGAGGATTCGTATCTGAGAGGTCTCCAAGCATGTTTTCTAGTAAAATAAATCAATGCAGGTGATGTGAATAGCAGGTTCAGGAAAATACTTGCTTGATTTAATCCTAACTCTGTTCTGTTCCTGTTTATAGTTACACTAAAGGTGTAGACATGTGGAGCATTGGCTGTATTCTGGGAGAGATGCTGCTTGGGAAGCCTCTTTTCCCTGGAACATCAACAATGAATCAAATAGAGCAGATCCTAAGGGTCATCCCTGCTCCCTCCCCAGAAGGTAGGACTCTGCTGTGGGGAAAGGGATTTAGAGAAGGGATTAAAGAGGGGAAGAAAGCAGCCCAGGTGGATAAGAGGAGAAGGTATTTCTTGTGGGTCATTCTGGCACCTTTCCAAGGAAATTAGAGACTTAATTGTGAATGCTTGTGTTAGAGGAAAATAAGAAATTCAGATATCTTGGTGCCTCTGCCTCTGTGGGTGTGAGAGTGCAGGTTTATGAAGTCTATGATTAATAAATACAAATTCAGAAATAATCTTAGAAAATTTGTAAGTAAATATTCCATTCCCCTTCCACAGATCTCCCATTATGTGTTATGAGAGTAATTTCCTATGCTAACATCCAATAATATTTGCTTTCCTTCCTAAACTGTGTAGCTCTCTGAGGTAATCCTCATCTTGGCATTAACAGTACCTTTTTATTATTGCAGATATTCTGGCTCTGCAGTCAGAGTACAAGGCCTCAGTTATTAACCACATGAGTTCCCGGTAAGCCTGGTGGGGGGTGTCTCAGGTCACCTACTGTATGACCATGGAATTGTGGAGTCCCAGAATGGTTTGGGTGGGAAGTGACCTTCAAGACCATCCAGTGCCACCCCCTGCCATGGGCAGGGACACCTTCCACTATCCCAGGTTGCTCTAAGCCCTGTCCAACCTGGCCTGGAGCACTTCCAGGGGTGGGGCAGCCACCATTTCTCCAGGAAATCCATTCCAGTCACTCCTTATCCTCACAGGCAAGGACTTCTTCCCAATATCCCATTTTAATCTCCACTTTTCCAGTGGGAAGCCCGTCCTCTTGTCCTGTCACTCCCAGCCCTTGTCCAGAGTTGCTCTCTTGGAGCTCCTTTAGGCAGTGGAAGGGACTCTAAAGTCTCTTCTTAAATAGAAATTATTTAAAATATAAGTAAGATTTGGGTTTTAAAACTGATATTTCAAATGTATAAGATACTCTCTTGTTGATTATGTTCACAATTATATTTAGGGTTCCAAAATGCAAAACCAGATTATCAGACTTCATCTTCTCATTGCAAATTACACAGAAATGTGTTTCTGTGGTCTCAGGTCTGAATTTGTGGGATCGTGGGGCTAGCAAGAGATGAACTTCAAGGTCCCTTCCCACCCAAACCATTCCAGGATCCAGTGATTATCTTTGTGAGTGAACTCTGGGGTCAGATGTCACCTTGGCGTGATCCCCAGAACTGTCATTCCTGCCTTCACTGGGAATTGGACACTGGGAACTCATATTATTGTTTTCTGTCTTCTAGGCAGCGAGTAACATTTGAGGAGATTTTCCCATCCTCTACTCCACTACCTGCCTTGGATCTGCTGAAGAAACTTCTGGTATTTAACCCTGACAAACGGCTCACAGCAGAGGAGGCTCTGCAGCATCCTTATGTGAACAGGTGAGAGTGACACCAGTGTGCAGCTTCCCCTGATGTCTTCTGAGACATTACAAACCTGTTCCTGGCACAAGTCTTCTTTAAATGCATTACAGAAAAAACCCCAAAGCTAATTCTTCATTTTCTCCAACCCTATTTACATGAGATTGTTTAACAATCCTGTTTAAATAGTGTTAGTCTGTGGTGCTGCTTTCAGTCAGTGAATTACATGATGTGTTCTCATCTCTTTAGATTCCACTGTCCTTCCAGGGAGCCCTCTTTGGATTATAATGTGGTCCTTCCTTTGGGTGATGATGTCCAGCTGTCTGTGGCAGAATATCGAAATAAATTATATGAGGTACATTTCACTTTTGTTTTCCCAAATCCTAATCCTCCAGGTAACCTTCCATTCTTGCACACACTTAACAAATTCTGTTGTCTTGTCTTTGTATTTCCCTGGGCTGTCCATACCTGCTGACACAGTTACACCTCAGTGTTTGGTCAGTCAGTTCCATACTGTCAGAATCTTTTAGAGACCTTTAAATCTAAATTCCCTTTGGGAAAGGAAAAGTCTCTGAAGCATGATGTCTGAGAAAGACTGGGTTAGAGGGAAATATACTGTGCTGGATCCAACAGCCATGGAATCATAGAATCACAGAATGGTTAGGGTTGGAAGGGAGCTTAAGGATCATCTAGTTCCAAAATTATACTTGTTACTGTGAAATAAATTCCAGATATTTACAAGTATTCCTCTTTGTTTTGATGTTTTGTTCCTCTGCTGTATTGCTGCATTAAGTCTAGCCAGCTTTTCTGTTCTGCAGTTGATCCTTGAAAAAAAATCAAGGAGCCTTCTAAAGGAGCGAGGGCGGAGAGAAAACATTCAGCTGAGCCAGTCTGAATCCAGCCCACTTCTCCCAAATTTCAGCTCAGTGACTGTACCCACCAGAAAAGTCCAGCAAGAACCAGCACCTCCTCTCCTAAACCCTTCACATGTGCATGCAGGAGCCACAGCTGGAGTCCAGCCAACAGGATCCAGCCAGAGCAAGGATTTGGCCAGAACTGTGTGTCAGAGATCACAGATCAGTGTGATGATGTACAACCCCATCACACACACCACTGTGCAGAGTAGGTACCACCCTCCTACACCAGGATGTGACACACCATGGGGCATTGTTGTGGGGAAGAGAGAGGAGAGACTGAATGCTGTAAAAGAAGTGAGGGGGATTTGCATGGTAAAACGAGGGGGTGAAAGTGTGGGAGGAAAATGACATAAGAACAAAAGACTTGAATGAGTGTTGGGTGTGTGACTGTTCCTGCCTCAGTCAGGGTGTTCTGTGTCCTCATGATTTTCTTTCTTTCTCTCATGTTTTTCCTTCTGCAGGAAATGCAAATCCTGGTGCTGGGATCAGGAACTTTTCTGCCCCACCTCAACAGCCCAGAATCTCCAACAATGGGAAACTAGGGAGACAAATCTCATGGACAAAGACTGGGCTCCCTCCTACAAGTGTGCAGAACCTTTACAATGTGAGTAGCTTAACTTCTAACCCTTACCTGTGGTAACTTGGGTCACAACAACTCCCTG